ACTTCCCCTCCTCGCCGCCGGGATTGGGGCCAACCCGGCAGGGCTCCTGATCCAACGAGGGCTACTAGCCAGCCAGCCCAGGCTTTCTAGTCATTCTCTGTAAAGGAGCCGACTGAGAAACGGAAACGACGATACAATCATCCCGCTTATTTCATGTTTTTTTGCGTAGTTGATTGACAAAATAAAAAGAGAATTTCTTTTACAGAAACCATGGCTTCTTGAGGTGGACGACAGAAGTAGAAGCGACTCGAAAAGGCAACGAGGAAACACTCATTTCTAGAAAACTTACAGTATATGCCGGAAGTTGATCCTGGCCACCCCTAGTCGTGCCACAGAATCCTATTATGTTTCTTCAGCAGATAGCGTTGTGATTTAGTTCCATTTACCGACTGCTGATATTCTTGATGTCTTTGAGTAACTTAATCGGGAATTTTGTTTCTAATTAAGCTAATTACAATCCAAAGTGATTTTGACCAACGCAGAGACACAATTATGGTCCACGTCGCCTGCTGGTGTACCAGTTGCCATGTCGTGAAAATAAATCTATTGAAAACGGTGAATTTTGTGGGAAGTCCACGGTGTTATTGTTGACATTCACACCGAACAGTATGCAGATGCTGAAACATGACTCACCAACAAGCGTCATCGAGGTAAATTTCATCCGAATTTGCGTTATCTAATTTATCAAGTGAGGATATCAGTGAGGCAGAAAGTCTTCCATTAACCAAAATCACTGAGTATGGCAAATTGTTTTGATCCAATCTGACGTACAGTACAAGTATGTGCAGTAGTATTCACATACGTAAAAGTCATAAATTTGACATCGAAAGCGGACACGGAAGGAGTAATACAGGCGTGGCCTTGTGCGAAATTTCAGAGCGGTACATCTTTTTTGTGTCCTAAATGTAAGCCTAGTGTTGACCATAACCCTTTTAAACCTAACAATAACCGTAATCTTAACTCCAAAGCTAGGCCTCCCTGGAAATTAGGGCAAGTCCACCTGTATTTCTGGACAGAAGGAGGTCATACTTTCGTGACCAACTGAAATCCGGATTTTTTCGTGCGACTAATGACCATCGTATATGAAAAATTAAAAGGGACATACTCCATGTTCATACAGACAACAGCGCATATGTACACCTAAAAAACCGGTTCGTAAAAAGAGAGCAAACGATGGCACTGTGGCGACCAGGGATATAACAGTTCAGACAAAGAGAAGACTCGCGCAAGACTTCAGATAATGATTCCAACGATCAGTTTACGCTATTTGCCGCACATCAGTCTACCAGGAAAAGTGAATTCCGTTGCCATTGTCTAGTTAAAAACCAATTCCTAATCTTTGAAAAAATGTGGACCAATGGAATAAACTAAAGGTTCCACGTCTTCGTAATTATATACTTAAAGAAAGAAAATCTCTTTAAATTTATTACGAAAGCAAATGTTGCCAGGAGCTCTGACATGTGTTCTCAAGGTTCAAAAGGCGGGATGAAAACCGAAACGGTTACGGACGCACGAGGACACACTGGATGACAAAGATCAATAGCTTATCACCAGGAGCTAGAGAATACATCCCAGAAACATATCTGATGAGAGAGAGGGTACAGGGTCTCGGAAGTTAAAAAAAAGGCTTAAATGCACCCTGGTCGGTAGCACTGAAAATAACAGAAGTACACCTACAGTTGGCAGGCTACGAATTTCAGACAATCTCGGCATTCAAAAAGTACATTGGACTATTTCGAGTGAGGAAATCAAGCTCACTGAATTGACTAAACTCAGGGTCTAATAGACTGTCAGGATTAAGTCGGCTAGGGATTAGTTTACGCGCAGTGGCTGACGCGACATGAAATCGCCATTCACACAGCATCGCACACGAACTCGGATTCCACAAGGCGTAGAATGTTATTGTAGCTTGATTTTCATTTTAAGGTACCAAGTTGACCTGTCAGTTGGAAAACATTTAAGTGACAGAGTTTGGCACGTCCGGCTTATTGTAAGGCAACATTAGTTTAATTTTTATGAGGGAAGGTACCTAGGCATCGATCTTACAACTTCTTCCCTGTCCCAAGTGCCGAGCAAGCGGACAGAGATCCTGGTTAGGTACAATGGCGGCCAGGGTCTCAACCTTCTACCCAATGTGGGTAAGTACCCATAGAGACCGGCACAAAGGCCAATGACATTCGCATTCTGGTCCAGCTCTACGACCGCGCAGAAGCACATCTACACAAAAAGAGACAAGTTTTTGCAAACTAGAATTACGGAGCCTCAAGCGGTGCCATGTTCATGGGACCTGCAAGCAATCTGGAGGATGGATGTCACCAGACTGTGATGACAAACAAGGTTAACAATTGTCTCTGTTATTTAGTGAATAAATCACTTGTGTCTGTGTGAGCGTTGACTTACCAGTTTGCAAAAGTCCTTCGATGTCTCTGAAAACTTGAAGTTGTACTCCTCAGCGTCCTCACAGACTCGACGATCTACTTCTTCTCGTTTGACCCGTTCCCGGCGTTTGCGGAAGGGCGGCTGACCCATGATCATCTCGTAGACGATGCAGCCCAGACCGAACCAATCGGGACTGAAGGAGTAACGTTCGCCACGAACAACTTCGGGAGCTGTAAAAAGTACAAAGTAAAGATCCTACTGCAGAGACGAGATCAGCATACTGAAAAAATTGGTTGAATACGCATTGTTACTCGTAAAATTCCTGTATAGGGGAGGAAGCAACAAATAACGGTAGGAGGAAGCACCATAATTAAATGTTCAGAAAGAAGGGGTTGTCGAGCGCCCGATCAATTTGTTTATTATCCTGCCCTTTCGGGCTCTTGCGGCAGTCCATGGTCAGAGATAAAAGCGTCAACGAAAAACAAACAACAGTTGTAGGGGGCAGGAGCCAATCAACCGTTAGGGGGAAGGGAGATCATTAATCCCCGGCGTCAGCCGTGCGGATACGCCTGCAGAGGGCGATGTATGCAGGCGCCAGCTCTATACATCGGTTCGGTGAGTTGTCATCCGAGGTCCAGGCCTCTATTAGTTCTCGTCCTGTCTTGCTGCTGGCGTGAGCAATTATCCTCGCTCAGGAGAATAAACAAATTAATGCGGCGCTCGACAGCCCTCTTCCTCATTCATGCAAATACCTGGAACGCGAACGTTTTCATTCATTCGTGAACCGCAATGAAAGGCAGAAGATTATCAAGTCCAATACAACTACAGAAATAATTTCGGTTTGGGATATGCTCAGATGATGAAGATAGCCCATAGAGGTGAATATGCGACCACTGGAACAAAAGTTTTATTGTCCTGACGTTTCGGGTTCTGTCGAGAATCCTTAATAGTAGGTAATGGTACGATAGTCTGAGTCATGCGCATGACTCAGACTATCTTACCATTACCTATG